CTTATTAGATTAGTCACATGGAATGGCCAAAGCTCAGCTTAAGGGGCACTATCTAATGAGGGATTTCTTCTTTAGCCTATGGTAAAGATTTTAAACACTGATCAGACATCCCTCATGAGTAAATTGGCTATTCTCTCAGTTCTTGGATTATTTTTTAGTAGAGCCAGACTTCTTGATTCCATTTTGCTTGAACTTCATCTCTGAAATGATGACTTTTTCTTCAGAGTTTAGTAGAATATTCCACTTTCGTTGATCTATCCTCTCTGTTGCTTTCCCAGTTACCTTCACAAAGCATTTAGTCAAACTATTTCTTCCTTTCTAAAGGACAGTGTAATACATTGGTTAGAGTCACATTTGAAAAATAAAATATTCCCTGGCTTATTTGTCACTATTAAGACAAGAATTGCTGTAAAATATTCTAATGAGCTATGTCACTCTCCAAACTACCTGTAATAATAAACAGAAACTCAAGAAGGGAGCAGCAGGATACAAGCATGAATATGAAGAACTCTGTAGTGTTAGGCTTCAGTGCTGGAGCCCACAGAACAGAGAGTTTATATGTTGAAACCTATCATATTCAACATTTGAAACTCTTTAACCAAAACCTGAACTTGGGTTGATTTTGAGACATTGCTAGTATTCAGCCATTGCAACTCAAAAGTGCTGTGATGGCTACATAACCCAAGAAACAAGCTTATCCTCTTTTTAAGTACTAGTCCCTCAGGACGCAGCACATACCATGACTCATAACGTCCCTGAAGTAGATGCTTCCCATTCCACTCAACTTGAAGTATTCAGTAATGAGCTTGATTGGAGGATTGTACACTGGAGTTTCAAATTCTTTACAAGTCTCCCCTAAAATATGTAGAATTGTTTGCTTGCATTTATCCATGTCTGATTAAAGTTTAGCACATTTTTGGCCAGAACAATTTTTCAAAAGTTAAAAGTTGTTATTGCATTTGCTTCCTTTTCAAAATGACAGTGTAGCTTTTCCTTTTCTTGGTGGAGAGATGGAGGACTATGAGTGCGAAAGGTTGCATACACTATCAGACATATTTGCTATGAAAATAAATTTTGTTTAACTTTCTAAGAGGCTTTTTAATACTGGCTATGTTTTTTATATAATTATTAATTCTCTATATGTTCTTGAGGAAGACATCCTGTGTTACGATAAAGAGGCACATGATAATTGGGACTTACAATAAGAACCCAGTTTTTTTTTTAACTTTGTATTTTCCTACACAGTTCTCAAAGTTTTTTTTTTAATACAGTAAAATCTCAGCTATCTTCATATTTCAAAAAAACAAGTTAATCTACCATCCAAGAAGCATTTACTAGAGGGCTATTATGTGCCAGGCACTGTGCTAGGCACTAGGGATACAAAAACAAAAGTGAAGCAGCCTTCCAGGAACTTATATTCTATTAGGAAAAAAAAACATGCCCTGTACAAATGTACACAAAACATAAAGAAAATAAACATAAAGAAATTTCAAGAAAGAGCATGTGGTGCGGGGGGGGGGGAAGAAAGGGGGAGTTGAGGAGGTATCCAGAAAGTCTGAATAGCTATGTATTCTACAGAGATGAGAATTTATCTGTTCTCTTAAAGCACCCAAAGTTGTTTTTTTTTACTTTGACCATTGTGAATGTAAGTTAGCATCTTTAAAATGTATTATACTTTTCTGCCTTCTTAAACAGAGTACAAAACATGATTTAACTTTTTCTTATGACTCAATAGCATCATTATGGGCACCAATTATTGTTCTGTGCTGTGAGACCAGTTGAGGTTGTAGGGCTCCTTGTATCTGTATCAAATTGCCATAGATAGCTGTACTTTTGAGTTATTTTGATTTGTAGTGGGTTGTTTTTCCTGTTTCCTCCCTTGTCAGTTGTCATTTTATTGCTGCTATAAGGTATACTTACCTAAGGCAGGCCCTTTTCTAATTGTCTGTTTCTGGGTTTTAGTGGGCTTGGAAATCCAATGACTAAACCTTCCAGAATTGTGTCTAAATCAAGAATAACATGCCTCTGGGTGAGGTCCTAGGAGCACGAATGTGTTATCTTGAGCGTTCAATGGCCATTTTTCTTACTTCCTATTTCTTGACTGTGTTCTAGGTAGATGATATTGCCAAATAGCTCAGTTCCAGATAGATCAGGTAAAGAATAAACACACAATTAGTCAATAGGGAGGAAAGTAAATTAGAATGTTTTGATCCCTTTGGTTGTGGTTCTCCCTTAGTTGTTGAATAAGCAGGCACTTCTCAGATAGAGCTCTGACCTTGGAGTCAGGAGGACCTGAGTTCAAATGCGCCCTCAGACACTTGACACTTCCTAGAAAGTCATTTAACCCCATTGCCTTACCAAAAAGAAAAAAAAAAGCTGCTGAACCTTAAACAGTATTTCTTTTAAAACTTTAAATCAAACCCCTAGGGTAACAAGCAGGATACATCCAACTGATTTAGTTCCTTCTTATATAGGCTTACACAACATATTGGCTAAGCAAATAAGCGATTAGGATGTACAGGCTGTCACTGCTTCCAGCTGAAGTATATACAAATAGCTAATTAAGGATTTAGTCTGGCTTTTGACATTGTTGTTTCCATCATCTCACAGCACAGAGTACAGTGGAATGAAAGTGTACGTTCGCTCTGTGACTTAACCATGCTAAGTGTGTCTGGTAACACTTCCTGGACCACAGTGTGCCAAAGAGTGAGCTATTTTAAAATCTTTAAGCTCTAGTTGCAGGTTCCAATGTTTACTGATGAGGGTTAGTGTGAGCTATGAAGAACAAAATGAAGGCTGGCCTCACTGGTTGGAGCTATTTTTAAAAATTCTATGTGGAACAAATGTATAATGGAGTAAACTAAGTCACCACCTTGATTATTCTTCACTTTAGTTTGCAAAAATAATTATTAAAAAAAGAAGAAAAAGAAGATTGTACCCCTCCTCTCTCCATCCCATCTCACTGCTGCAGGCTTTCTCTAAGCTTTAGCAGGTGTCAAAAACCATTGTTTGTAGGTTTCTGGTGCTTACTCAACAGCAGCCTCAGGAAGGACATTCCTGAATAAGACCCCTGTTTTGCTTTCACTCCCCAGGAATGATGAACCTCATATTAATGTCCTCCTGCCGTTTCCCTGGGTACCCTTTTTCAATTTGCTTTCTGTTAATGGCTTTTATTGTACAGTCGAGCAAAATGCTTGCCTGTTATAAAACACTCTAAAGGAAAAATTTTCAACCCCTTGGAAAATATGAGGTGTAGGAAAGTTTCCAATGCTTTCAATAGAATTGCACCTTTCTAGGATTAAATCATTTGACTTAAATTTATTCTTGGGTATATGTTTTTCAAATAGCCTTATTCTAGCTGTTGAATCAGTGTCCTAGTGTGGATAACTTTTTCACTTCCCCCCAAAATGTGGACGCAGATCTACAAACATCGCACATATATCTCCTTGAAATGTTGTGTTCATTCTAGAGGCAAATGAATTTGATTGTATTAAAAAAAAAACCTAATTCCAAACACGAACTAATTTTATTCCTTTCACCCCAAACCTCTGATTAAAATTTTTAAAATATTTTAATTGCATTTAGATAATTTAAAAATCAAATTTCAGGCTATAACTATTTACAAACTAATAAATAGCATAGTTGAACCTATAGAGCTTGAAGTCTCCCAAAATCTGGGTTCTTCATTCCTCTGAACTATTCCTATAGTAAATTCAGAATTGGAAGCTAAGCTTTTTTCCAAATGGTTTATTTAAGTCTGAGCCATCAGCGGAACAGGTTTGTCTATATTTTATGATCTTGAATTGTTTAAGGTGTTACAGATAAAAATACAGCTCCCTCCCAAAACTGTAACTAAGAGTTGGTGTGACCAGTGGTTTGTCTCAGGACCTTGAAATTTGGAGGATGGTTATGGCACTTGTCCTTCTTCACCAGCTACAAATAACTGAGTTTAGGAACTAGTTAAGAAGAAGAAGAAACTAGCTAAAGAAGATAATCAGTTAAAATAGGAAGCACACAGACAGCTCACTCCCTCCTCCTCGGCATGGCTTCACCCTTCTTTTTCTCTATAGCCTTAGGCCCATATTCTCTCTCTCAACCTCAGCTGAATTTTTCTTAAAAATTTTATTTGAGTGGACTTTCCCTGCTCCTTGCCCAAATGTGCATTTTATGGTCCTCACTCTTGGAGCCCGAACAGCTCGTTATGACTCTCCTCTTTCCACCCCTGCTACTCACCTCTAGTTTTTTCCTGTTTTTTTTTTATTTCCTAGTTAGTTCCCTTATTTATATTTCTTTTCTTTCTTTCCTTTTCTTCCTTCCTTTCTTCTTCCTTTCCTTCCTTCTTTCATTTTTCTTTGCTCCCTCTTTCATTCTTTCCATCTTTCTCTTTCCTTCCTTTTTTCCTTTCTTTTTTCTTCCTTCTTTCCTTGCTTCTTTCTTTCCTTCCTTTCTTCTTTCCTTCTTTCTTTCCTCCTTTTCTTCCATCTTTTCTTTTTCTTTCTTTCCTTCTTCCTTCTTTTTTCTTTTCTCCTTTCTTTCCATCTTTCCTTTTTCTTTCCATCTTTCCTTCTTTCTCCCTTCTTCCTTCTTTCCTTCCTTTCTTCTTTCTTTCTTTCTTTCATTAGAGCACAAAGCTAATGAGACTGAGGTTACAGATCTGGTCCCTTTGTAGACCAGCTCTGTTTTGTTTCATGGCCAGAAGTAAATCTATGACGTTGATCACAAAGAGGCCTGAATGTAAGATTATAGATAGTCCACCATCCCCACTATTGGAAGTGTCATCTCAGAGTACAAACACACGTTTATTTAAAATGCATTTACTTAAATTTAATTTGGTGGGATGGTAGCAGAAGAGCCAATCAGCAGGAAATAGAAGTTGGGGCTCTTTTATTACATATGATCAAAGAGTCTGAGGCATCCCCAACCCAAATTCACAATAAAAGGCACTCATTTGATTGATTCTACTAGAAAGTATCAGTATTCCCCCTTTTTTTATCTTACAGGAACCAAAGAGATTGTCATCAATGTTGATGATGATGGAGTCATTTCTCTGAACTTCGAATGTGATCAGATGTCCAAACACTCTAAATTCATCTGGTCAAAGGATTACGTACCAGTTGAAGACTCTTCTCGAATAGAAGTTGATACCAAAGGCAATAAGTAAGAAATGTTTCATGAGCAGCAGTAGTTTCCTCTTTACTTTCTATTGGGATGACTTTGGCAGGAGGGTTGAAACTTATATGAGACAATACACTTTTCACAGAATTGTCAAAGCTCATACTTCAGTATTTCAAGGATTTTATCATTTCAATGCCCTAGGTACAATCATCACCAATTCAGACTACTATAGACTACAGTTTAGTAGACTCTATCAGAGTTGCTATGGCTGAAAAAATTCATCATCTCTTGGCCATTTTCTGGTCATGAGCCTTTCAAAACATAAGAAACTCAAAGAGTTTCAAAACATAAGAGCTCAAAGCCAAAATAAATGCTGAAAGATGCTGATGACAAAAATAGCTCGCTTTTGTGTTGCAAAGTATTTCCATATACATTTTTTTTTCATTAGTGATAGCAGAAGAATTTTGACTGGTGTTGAAAGAACAGTGGCCTTGGGAGTCTAATCCCGACTGCCACTTAATAACTGTGGTACTATGTATAAGTCACTTAATTTCTTTGAAACTTCATTATCTTATCTGTAAAATGAGGGTAATAATACTGCACAAGATTATTGCGAAGAAGGTACCTTGTCAACTGTAAAATGCTATATAAATGGCAGCTATTATTAAATAAGAGGTTCTAAGGACTCCCATTAATGCCAAGGATGTTGAGTATAAAAAAGTTCGGTGCAGATAAATATTTCAGGAGACAGAAAGGGACTATTTTCCCCATCCTCTATCAGGGAGAGCATAATATAGTAGAATAATTGGTCTTGAATCTCCCAATAACTCTTTATGTGACCTTGAGCGAGTCATAAACTCTCTGGGCCTCAATTCTTAATCTTTAAAATGAGTGGATTGAATAAGATAGTCACCAAGATCCTTTCCATGTCTAAAATTCTATGATCTCCCATTTTGCTTTTTATATTTTGCCTACCTTTTGACATTCTTTGAGGCCATGAATATTATATAATTAGATTTTTAAAATAATAAAACTAAATCCAAGTTTTAAAATATGTATCCCATGGCCTTTTGTTGGGAGATGCCAAAATGATACACTCTGGTCAGCAATATATTTTTCAATCATAAAATCTAAAAGTACTTGAAAAAAGCCCAATATATCTTCCAAAAAAAGTTAATTTGACTATAAATGTTTTTCCCCAAGTGTGTGTACATTCCCAATGACATTTTACATTTATGGCTTTTTTAAAAATTAGAAAATATAATGTACTTAATTTTTCAAGATCTGCTTTTATGACTTCCTTTCCCATTCAAATATTTTATTTTCAAGGACTAAAGCTACTTTTAAAGACCTTGGAATAGATGACTTGGGAATTTACTCCTGTGATGTCACAGACACTGACGGAATTGCTGCAAGCTATTTAATAGACGAAGAGGGTAAGTTTAAGTCAGTCCACTGATGTCTGGAAAAATGAGACAGTGAAAAGAGTGCTGGATTTGAAGTTCAAGAAATTTTACCATTTACTACCCATGTGTGACCTTGGCAAGTTATGTAAGCTCTATGAGTCTTATTGCAAATTGACAGGGTTGGATTCAGGGGCATGATGGAAACTGTTCCTACTGGCGTAAGAAAACTGATTATTAAATTTTCGGTATGATCCTTTGTACCTCAGAAATTGGCAGACACTACAGAACTTGAGTTATTGTTTTGTTGATTGTCTTGACTTAAGAAAGTGATGGATAAATGTTAGTAATGAAGATTGAGCTTAAAAGTGTGTTGTGAGTATAATTTTTTTTCATAGAGCTGGTTGTTAAACATTTACCAGCATACCCCTGGATTAAATGATCCCTAATGTCTGTTCCAGTTCTAGATCCTATGGTTTCTAATAATTATTTGCCATTTTTATATTATGTGAAAGACCAGATTAGACATTTCATGTAGACAAAAGAATGCTGGAAGGAAAATCAGTACACTTGGGCCTAAGCAATATCTGCTGTTTTGTGTGTGACTGGACAAGCAACTTTTCTGAAACCTAAATTCTATCATTTGTAAAATGAATATAGTAGAATTTGCTCTATGATAATGTATGTGAAACACCTTTTAACTCATATTGTTATTAAATACTAACAGTTCTTTTTTCTTTCTTTTCCCAGAGATGAAACGTTTACTCGCCCTCAGCCAAGAACACAAATTCCCAAGTGAGTATCAGAAAAATGGTCACCACACTGTGTGGTGAGCTAGTAACATTGATGACACTGATAGAAATGGATAATTTAGGAACCATGATGGAACACACATTCTGGCAGTAACCTGTGTCTTTCTAGTAGCACTTCCTAGTAAATTACAAAATCAGATGAAGCTATCATTTTTTTATATGATACTATCATAATTAGTTCTCCAAATGTACTGAGGATGTTGATGTAGTAAAAGTTTCCTTTAGTCTACATAGTACCCAAGTGGCTCTTTTTGATGGAACTGTAAGATCTAGATTATGGAATGAATTTTTTTATCTCAGTATTTTGATGTCCTGTCTCTGATACTTTCTTGAGATATATTCATTCTTATGTTTCCATGGAGAGGCAGCATGAGGTCATGGTGAAAGGGCTGGCCTTGAAGTCTGCAATCAGTAGGTCTGTAAGCATTTATTCAATACCTACTGTGTGCCAAGCAGGTAGGTTGCCCAGTGGATAGATCACCAGGCCTGAACTCAGGTAGATCCTAGGTTCAAATTTAACTCAACTACTTACTAGTCTATGATCCTGGACAAATCATTTAACTGCTTTCTGCCTCAGTTTCCTCAACTCTAAAATGAGGATAATAATAGCATCAACGTCCCAGGGTTTTTGTGAGGATCAAGTAAGATAGTAATTATAAAGCACTTAGCACAGTGTCTGGCACATATCTTTATTAAGCACCTAATAAAGGCTTGTTCCCCTGTATACAAAGTAAATAAATTTAAGAAAGACCTGCCTTCAAGTCCACCTGAAACACAAACTAGCTATGTGAAGATGATCATTTTCTTATACCCTAAGTGCCCCAGGTAATTCTTCAAACTATAGCTTACAGATAGAACTGCTAAGTTTCATCAGAGGAGAAAGTTTCCATGCTGGGATTTCCCCATGCTGATGAAATCACAGGCCAGAGCCAAAACAACAAATTGAATTCTTTTTGAGTAGTCTGACCGTGGTACTAAATTCAAACCCAGGGAAAGAGTTTTATCACTTCAGATGCTCAAACTAGTCTTTGCTAGCTTACTGATAAGGAAAGTTGATTAAGGTGAACTGGTCAAGGAAAGGGGCAGAGATTCAGTTGGTTCATCTGCTAGATAACCTAGCCCCTTTAGGGCTTTCTAGCACTCTCCTCTAGTAACCCTCTTACATGAAAGATGAGATGCCCCAGCTAAGTGCTAGGAGTGTGTAAGCCTGTGAGGAGACTCTGAAGTTACATTGACCTGAAAGCATCTTTTGCCATTAACATTCATTAGCTAAGACAGTAAAAACCTGCGGAAAGGTCCCCCCCCCCCCCCCCGCACAGCCTGTGTTTAAAGCACTAAAATAGGAACTAATGCAATATTGTTATAAAGATGTGATCCTTGCATAACTCAGAGGTTTCTTTAAATTCCATATGTTAAAATCATAGCTGCCCGTTTTAAAGGCCAGCTCTCTGCCTAGTCTTAAAGAACTCCAATTTGTCTGCTTCGTTAATGTCAGTGAGATGACTATATAGTGAGAAAATATGAGCAAGACTTAGGAAATTCTGATTCTCCTCCCATGAACCACTGGAAAAATAATTTCTTATCTGTTTTTTCATAGGTAAAATTTGAAAGAAAAAAAGTAGTGTTTTAGAGTTGCCTTTTGTTTGCAAATGAAGTTCAAAGTATTGGGTCAGACTATTTACTGGGCCTCTGCCACTGACTCCTTGTGTGACCTTGGGTTAAGTCAAGTAAACAAGCATTTATTAAGTACCTCTTATGTTCGGGATACAAAAAAAAGGCAAAAGACAGTTCCCATTTTTGAGGAGCTCACAGTCTAATGGGGGAGAAAGCATTCAAAGAAACTGGGTATTGAAAAGCTATCTACAGGATACAATGGAGATAATCAACAGAGGAAAAGCGCTATGAACAAGGGTGGATCAAGCAACTCGTCTGACCTCTCTTCATCGGAGTGTCCTTGTCTACAAAGCAGGATTTATAATAATTGGTCATACATACCTTATAAAGACCTGACAGGAATTAGCACACTATTGTTTGTTAGTTTAAAAAAAATACTGAGTAAATTTAAGAAAAGGAATCCAAATCTTCCCCTTGTTAGGGAGAGAAAAGCTGTCAGAAAGCCCTATAGCTATTACCAGCCCATTCTTTCATTCCCAGGAGTCTGCAGCCTTGTCGGAAGGCTGAAAATGCATGGAGATGGTTAATTTGTACTTTGGTTTCCATCTCACACTAAATCAAGTGAGGATGAGCCATCCTAATAGACCTTAAATTTGTTAATAATGAAGTAGAACCCTAGAAATAGCGATAGTGAACTTTCAATTATTTGTAGAAACAGAGGGGGCAGCAACCAGTCAACCAAATGATCAGTCAATAAACACTGATTGAGTTCCTGAATAGTGATGTCATTTACATTTGACTATTACAATGGAAAAGAAAAAAAAACAAAACAAAAACGAAGGCATAGCAAATAGAGAGTCAGTCCTGAGTCAGGGATCTGTAAATACATCTGATGAACTTGGTAGCACAACTACAATTATTGGTACTAAAAATAGAATTGATCAAGGAATAAGTCATTTTGAGGTCTCAAGGTTTTGGTTTTTGTTTTTATTTTTTGTGGAGGAATGGATAAGAGGCCTATGATTCTAAGAAAATAGGCAGTGAGCTCAAGTGACTTTTTACTTTTTATATGTTGTTTTGGGTAGGCAAAGAAATGAACTTGAAAACTGTATAGGTCAGGGGACTAAATATCATGATTTTTAATCTTTAAGTCTAGGGAGAGTTAATGCATCTCTCTAAGAATATAAGCTGCAAGGGATGCATCCATTTGCAATAGTAAATGAAGTGCCCTCATCTGTAGCTCCCTATAAGAATGAAATCACAGGTCTGGCCCTCCAAAAATCTGTGGAGGACAAACCCCAATTCCTCAATCCAAAGGAAACTATTTGATAACCCTTTTTAAAGTAACCTCTGTTACATAAAAGCTTGAAAGCTTTTTTTTTAGTTTCTAATATTAGGATAACAGTCTTTCTTTAATAATCTTAGAGCATGGAAATTAGGTTAATACATTTGTATTTCAAGAGACCTGATGGTAGTGAATAAGTGACACACCTGGTTTGTATCTGCTTCCTCTTGCAAATGCTGACTTGTGGTAACTAAATTATTTTGAAAGATTTGGTTATTGGCTGTGTGACCCTGGGCAAGTCACTGCACCCCACTGCCTGGCAAAAAAAAAAAAAGAAAGACTTGGTTAGTTGTTAAATGGCAGATAGATGGCACAGTGGATAGATGCTGAGTCTGGAATCAGGAAGGTCTAAGTTTGAGTATTGCCTCAGACACTTATTAGCTTTTTGACCCTGGACAAGTTACTAGACTACTATTTGCCTCACTTTCCTCATCTGTAAAGTGAGGATAATAATAGCATCTACCTCCCAGGGTTGATGTGAGAATCAAATGAAATAATATTTGTAAAACACTCTGTAAACCTTAAAGCATTATCTAAATGCTAGATGTTGTTTTCATTTCTCCTGGAGTTTAATGAAGCCTAGCATTCCATTACACTAAGATAAGAAATTATTCAATAAATTCTTCAGTCTAAAAATTTTTAAATCAATTCAGAAGTCTCTAAACCAATCCTTGGGGAATGTAGATGTGTAGAAAAGCCTAGGAAAATATGTTATTTTCAGTTTAGGCTTGTGCTTCCTCCTTAAGCTGAGAACACTGAAGTGAAAGTAAAAGCAGTGTCATTTACAAGAATTCTGGAGCCCAGAAAGTGGAACTGGTGGTCAGTGCCTAACTATAGAGCAGTTGTAGACACTGATGCCCTCTCATTGGCCAGTCGCCAAACAGATGTGGTGGTGGACCAAATTAGAATCTGCCTGAGTTGCTAGAAAAAGTAGGGCTGAGAGCAAGCTGGAAAAAACAAACCTGTAAGGATAAAATTAGACAAATTGTAACCCCAGTGGAAAAGATGCTGGATTTAGAATCAGAGTTCAAATCTGGACTCCACCACTTGCAGACTGGGTAATCTTGGGCAAATCAGTTCACCTATCTGGACTTCAGGTGATTCATCTGTAAAATGAAGGGATTGAACTAGGTGACATTTGACAGCTATAAATCTACAACCCAATGATCCTATGAATCCATGCTTGTTGTTCAGTATTTTCAGTTGTGTATAACTCTTCATGGCTCCATTCAGAGTTTCCTTGGCAAAGATACTGGAATGGTTTGCCATTTCCTTCTCTAGCTTATTTTACAGATGAGGAAACTGAGGCAAACAGGGTTAAGTGATTTGTCCAGGATCACACAGCCAATAAATATCTGAAGCCTGATTAGAACTCAGGAAGATGAGTCTTCCTGACTCCAGACCCAGCACTCTATCCACTGTGCCACCTAGCTGCCCACCCAATAGCTGCTAGATGATAGTGTTTCCCATCAACCTCTACTGTCCTAGTAATGATAGAACTCGGGTATCTGGAAAAGAGAAATTGTGTATACTTCCTAGAGTGAGCATTATGACTTATGGAGCCTTACTTCTCTGGAGTCTCTGCAATTCTACAAAGTGGTCTTCCTGACCACTAACTCCACCACCGCCACATATACACCTCTTCCTCCCTTCCTCCCCTTCTCCCACAATCACGCATTTGTCTTATACCATAAGCTACCAAAGGAACAGAGAGAATCTGTCAGTGACACAGCAAGGAGACCTCACCCTACAATCACAGCTCCTGAAGTTATCTTTCCTCCAGCTGGGATCACTTTAACTTTCACTCTGAAACTGAAGCGGTCAACCAGCCCAGTTGCAAATCAAAGATGATATGTGTAGATTTTTGGATTTTTAGTTCAATATAAACCCTTGATTTTACTGATGTCAGGAACTCCCACTGTAGAGATTCTCTCCACTAGAGCAGTTGAACAATTCTTCTGTAAAGTACATAGATACAGCTCAAGAAAAAAATTGTTTCCTTATATAAACAAAAGATCATGGAGAAAAAGTCTATGTGCCACTACAATTTAGCTTGTTAATGGAAATTGAGGCTGTCACAGCATTTATTAAGTGTTTAGTATGTGCCAGGCCCTGTCCTAAGCACTGGAAATACAAATACAAGCAAGAAGAAAAATATTCCCTGCCCTCCAGGACCTTACATTCTAATTAGGGAAGATGACATGTGTGTGTGTGTGTGTGTGTGTGTGTGTGTGTGTGTGTGTAGTAATAAGGAATATCTGGATAGGTGCCTGGTGGCAAAATACTTAGAGTCAGAAGCTCTGCTGGGAGAGGAATGAAAGTCTGGACCACTCTCCAAAATGAAAGTCCAAAAAGTAATTCACTAACATGAGAAGGGGGCTGTCAGGGTGAAAGGATACTGCAGGGTGTGAAGGCCCCAGGCTGTCAGGGATGTTCCAGGTTGAAAAAGCAGCTGGGTAATAGCGACAAAAGGGGCAGCTAGGGGGTGCAGTGGATAGAGTGCAGGACCTAGAGTCTGGAAGACTCATCTTCATGAGTTCAAATCTGGCCTCAGACACTTAATAGCTGTGTGACTCTGGGTAAGTCACTTAATCTGTTTACCTCAGTTTCCTCATCTTTAAAATGAGCTAGAGAAGGAAATGGCAAACCACTCCAGTACCTTTGCCAAGAAAACCCCAAATGGGGTCAGGAAGAGTAGGACATGACTGTAGACAACTGAACAACAAAAACAAAATGGTGGCAAAATCGTTAGAATCAGAAGCACAGCTGGGAGCAGAATTTACCTTCTTTCAAAGAATCATGAAATAACAGTATTTTCCTAGCATAGCCTTAAGCAAAGACAATAATAGAGAACTGTATAATTTTAAACTCAGAGGATCACAAATTTAGATCAGGAAAGGAGAGCAACTATTTCAACCCCAAAATTTTGGAGATGAGAAAAGAATTTATAATATTTTATCCTTTTGAAATTACATGTAAAGATAGTTTTCAGCATGTGCTTTTATAAGATTTTGAGTTCCAAACTTTTTTTCCCTTCCCTTCTTGCTTTCCCCACTCCCCAAGACGTCAAGCAATCTGATATAGGTTATACATATACAATCATATTAAACGTAATTCCACATTAGTCATGGTGTGAAAGAAGAATCAGAACAAAAGTCAAAAACCAAGAGAAAGAAAAAACAAACAAAAGAAGGGTAAAAATGGTATGCTTCGATCTGCATTCAGACTGGAGATAAGAAAGTTTAAGCCCAGTAAAGTCAAAGGACTTGCTCAAGATCACATAGTTACTTAGTGGCAGAACTGAAACTAGAACCTAAGTTTTCTACCCCCCCGGCTTGGTTTTTTAATTTTTTTTTTTTTTTGGCACAAGCTGCTGCTTCAGATTTTATGCATACCTATGAAGAAGTAAAAAAATTCCAGCTAATTTCATTTCATTTAACATTATCTACTTGCTGTCAACAGTTTATAGTCAATAAACATTTAATAATTGCCTACTCTGTGCCAGGACAGCTAGTGGCTCAGTGGATAGAGTACCAGACCTAGAGGCAGGAAGACTCATCTTCCTGAGTTCAAATCTGGCCTCAGACACTTATTAGCTGTGTGACCTTGGGCAAGTGACTTAAACCTGTTTGTCTCAGTATCCTCATCTGTAAAATGAGCTGGAGAAGGAAATGGCAAACTACTCCAGCATCTTTGTCAAGAATATCCCATGTGAGGTCATGAAGAACTGAGCAACTGAAAAACAACTGAATTGAACTATGTGCCCCACACTACATTAAAGCACTGGGGATACAAAAAAAAAATCACAAAACACAGTCCCTGCCCTCAAGGAGTTCACATTCTAATGGAAGACAATATTCAAAGAACTCTGTGAAAACAAGCCACAGACAAAATAAGCTGGAGATAATCCGCCGAGGGAAGGCACTAGCTTTAAGGGGGACCCACAAAGGCTTCCTGTGGCTGGTGAGTTGTTGGCTAGGACTTGAAGAGAGTCATGGAGAGTGAGAGCATTCCAGACGTGGGGATAGCCAGTGGAATCAAGAGATGTAGTGTTTTGTGAAAGGAACAACTGGAAGAAAAACTATATGAATTCAATTTGTTGTCATCACTATTACCATTGTCATTTTTTTCCTTCTGTAGTCGTCCCACTTAAATCTGAGCTGGCTGTAGAAATTATGGAGAAGGGGGAAGTTCGGTTCTGGATGCAGGCTGAAAAGCTCTCAGGCAATGCCAAGGCCAATTACATATTTAATGACAAGGAAATCTTTGATGGGCCGGTAGGTATCATTCTTTTTTTAGTCTCTTTTGATGTCATTAGAGCAGAAAGTGGTGGGGAAGGGTGTTTGATTGTAACCTGGATTAATTATTACAAAATCATGGAGGGAGGACATTTCAGGTTATGTACACAGGGAAGAGCTGGGAAAATACAATTTCCCTATTGAAAAGAAAAGACCTGTTTCTGGGAAAGCCTTATGGGAACCTGGATCATTACATGAATTAAAATGAGTAGTTTTTAATATTGAATAGAGACTTTTGCAAATTATGAAAAACTAATTCCCCAGACTTTCACGCATCAGAAAAATATCATTTTATGACAATGGAGTTATGGCACATTTTCTTTACCATTAGCTATTACAATGGTGAATATAGGTGTTGTCCTCTAAAAATTATCATTCTTGTGACCCCAGTTATCATCCATACTGAGACCAGAGCAAACTTGGGAGACTGAGGAAGGGTTGGGGATTCATGTTTTGTTCTCCTAGCCTAACTCCACTACCCTGTTAGCTACTTCTGTCTACTACCACACATCCCTAGTCCAACAGATTTAGAAAGAGTAGGGAAGAAGGGCCAGTTTCCACTATTGCTAGCAACCCTTTCCAACCCAACTACCACCCTGGGGATAAGTATGTGATGATGCCATCAAGCATGACAACTTGTGGGCAATATACCTCACTAGTGACTAGATGGTGGCAATGATAAGATTTTTTTAAGAGGATAAAGATGATAGAGAGATGAAGAAGGGGTATAGCAAAGAATACACGCATGACTTATACTGCTTCAAATAAAAAAAAGAAAATTAACATGTTGCACATGCATTTAACATTTTATGCTAATTAGGTTTGTTTAGTGGAAATTAGCTGTAAGCCAATCTCAAATTTATGAATATGTTCATTTGAATGTGATTGCACAAGGGAATATCATTAAAGTAACTCATCACCTCATTTAATATATAATTTCCTTTAAAAAAAATCCCAGTGGAAGAAAGTTTCATGATATGATAAAGGCTCATAAAAATAATGAAGAATCTACTTCAGTGACTCCATTTCTCACCAACATGGGTGTTCCCCCTTTCTCAGTACAGATAGTCATCTCTCTGTACCTTCTCATCCTATGTGAGTCTTATCTGTGTTCTTTCATAAATTCTCCATAAACGATTGACCCAATGTGCCAAAGGCCTTCCTTAGTTCTTCCTACAAACTGTTTCTCACTTGGCCTTCCCTCTTCAGACCTTCGGATTTGGAATTCATGATGATTTGGACAGGAAATAGGCCAGATTTTACCTTTGTGCTATTTTTTTTAATAAAAAGCTTTCCTAAGCAAATCAATAATGTAAAAATCTGACAGACTAATGAGTATCTAAGAGACCAAACTATTTTCAAGGACTATCACTGAGAAAATTATGCTGAGAAAATGACCTTCAATAACCTGATCAAAGTCCAGAAACTATCATACAACCAAACCTTGACACTATGTGCTATAATGTATACATGATATGCTAAGTACAAATAATGCTTATCTGTTAAGGACTGAGTACACCCTGTTATCCCCTCATTCCTGTGACTGCATGTGCTTGAAAGTAATAAAGCTGTATTTCTGAAATTCAGACATTTTATTAATTCAGTTTGGCCTTTTCTAACCAATTCATCTGAATTAGTGAAAGTTTATTATATTCCCCACAATCTATTCCATTTTCCTAGGTTTATGCTTAGAAGAGTATTACCTGAAAAAAAAATTATAAAGAAATCTCACTAAAATCACTACTCTATTTCAATCAAGCTTTTTTTTTTCATTTTAGTATTATCATTTTCTTTAGTTATATTGACCCTGCTAAACATATTCTTCTTTTCATCTCTGCTTTTCAATACATGCTGAAGAAATACAAGATGCACATGGACCGAAACACAGGAATAGTTGAAATGATTATGGAGAAGCTTCAGGATGAGGATGAGGGAACATATACGTTCCAGATCCAAGATGGGAAAGCAACCAACCAGTCCACTGTCGTTCTCATTGGGGATGGTAAGAATTTCACTTTGTCTTAATTTGCCCTCAGGTTTTCCTACTTTTCTCCTCAAAAATATCCCACAATACAAAGGCAACCAGCCACATGTTATTAGAAGTAATGGGAATGGAATTCTTTGTTCTAAGAAATGGCTGTCTGGGACAGGGGAGAGAGAGGAATACAAGAAGAAATTTAGGCAAGGTAAAAGCAAAACATAGCAGTAAAAATTTATTTAAAAAAAAGTAAGAGTAATGATTTCTCGGCTTTCCATATTCACTATATGAGTGTACACTCATGCTTTCCATAGGAATACAAGGCAGACAGGACTCTAAAGAGGTCATTAAATCCATATTTCTTCCTCTAGGCAAAAATGCACTTAAATTATCACAATAAACATAGTAGCCTATTCCTAGAATTGCCAGAGGACATTGTTATACAACCTCCCTTGGTAAAAGAGTGCGAGTGTTTTCCAACTAAAACTTGACATTTCCACCATATTTTAATTGGTATTTATTGTAAACAAGCTAAATTGAGAGAATTTAAAATTCTCTACATAGTGATATATCTGCCTCATGAGGTTGTAAGTTCTCCCCTTCTTGAAAGTCTTCAGGCAGAGGCTGTACAACCATTTGTCACATGTGTTATGAGGGGGTCTCTTAAGGGTGGGATTGGATAGCTACTAACGTCTCTTCTAACACTTGAATTCTGTGATTCCGTGATATGCTTCAGTCCTTCAAAGAACATGGAATTCCACTGACACGGACACATGTTGATCATGGCTATTCCACGCAGGAGTACAAAGTCTCATATGTTGCAGGAGCCAGAAAAATTCATCACTTGACAGCTATCCTGCTAGTATTGAGCTTCTTGAATGTACTCAGGTCAACAAATAGTACATGGAAGTCTTTCCACACTGATTGGAACTGCCCAAGTTTAGGCTCTGAGAACCCAGTGTCACTTAAAAACAATGATAGGGCATAGGGGAGGCCATGTTGATATCAATGCAAACTGTGGCATATATGAAATACATTAATAATAATTGTATCTAGATAGTGCTAATCCAGCCAATGTAAGTAAGCATGGAAAATACAAATCTTTAGAATGGAATATTTGCATTAGACAATGAAAGGTGGGAACGTCAAGTATCTGTAACTGCAATCGCCACATCTTGTGTGCTCAGTTTTATCTCATAGCCTTCTTTGTATTTTGTTCCTAGTCTATAAAAAACTTCAGAAAGAAGCTGAATTCCAGAGGCAAGAATGGATCAGGAAACAAGGTAAAAGTAGAGAGTAGGAAAAGAAGTACCATCTCTTTGAATTCTAAGTAGATATGGACATAGATTTTTCTAGAATGATTTAAAATACAAACCATTTTTTTTCAAGTGATGTTAAATAAATATTACAGTCCAGCATATACATTTGAAAAAAATATCTACTTGGAATATTTTTAAATGAAGAAATATAACATTTCAAAATCTAATTCAATATTGTCACCTTGTGAAGAAAATGAAACTTAATTTTACTCTTGTGATGAATATGGTCATGGCCAATATCATTTTTACAGGTCCTCATTTTGCTGAATATCTCAGCTGGGAAGTGACTGGTGAATGCAATGTGCTGTTGAAATGCAAGGTAAGAAACATCTGAATTTTTAAACACAGTGCAGAGGAATCAAACATAAAGACAGACAGAAAATGAAAAATTAGATCAATGCATTCGTCTCTTCAAGTTGAACCCAATGTGATGGAATATACATGTTTAAGTCATTCAACAGTTTATACATATACAAAGATGTATGTATATCTATGTATATGTATAAACTGTTGAATGACATTTAAGCTCTTAAGTAATGTGAAATGCTTCAAATAAAATCACATAAAGCTGCCAAGAGAAAAAACACTAGTTATTTTCCCCTACTTTAGTTATACCTGTGGGTTCATTCATTTTCAGTCTCTGGGGGTCTTGTATTATCTTTGTTTTAGGCTGTATCTACAGGCTTAGCTGTAGGACTATTCTGGAATTGTCTGTGCTACAATTTGCAGTTAAACATGTCAGTTGTGGTCAGCTTACATAATGATGACCTTCTACACCTCTGACTGTCTGCCAGTCATGCCACTGGGACAGGAGGGATGGCTCTGGAACAGCTGAGCTGATGTGCCTGCACACAAATAGTGAACAGTTTTGCAATTAGGCTGCTGAGTATTGTTGCTTTGGTAGGTAGGTACAATGGCTAACCTATTGCAAAAAAAATAAATAACATTGCCTATCATCCTATAAAAATAAATGAGTGTGCAGATAAATTAGAGATAGTAACTAAACATGTTCCACCAAATATTCATTTAACAGCTACTATGTGCAGAATTTTGTGCTAAGGAGGAGGGAGGAGCACAGGTTAGTTCTGAATAGCGACTATGACATACATAAATAGTATTTTGCACCATAAATAGTAGAATTCAAATCTACAAATACTATTAATTAACACTATTTTGTTGACTGAGGCTTTTCTTTTTGTCGGTGATATCTTTGGGAGTATATACTTAGCAGTAGAATCTCTAGGTAAAAAAAGTGTGGATTTGTTAGCCACTTTATTTGCATAATTCCAAACTGTTTTGCAGAATTTGCAGCTCTACCAACAATGCATTAGTATGCCTGTCTTTCCATAACTCCTCCAACATTGACTACTCTTATCTTTTGTCATCTTTGCTAGGTGGCCAATATTAAGAAGGAAACACATATCGTGTGGTACAAAGATGAGAGGGAGATAACAGTGGATGAAAAGCATGACTTTAAGGATGGTATATGTACTCTGCTTATAACAGAGGTAGGTAATTCTTACAAATATACAACTTAACCTGTTAAATATGGGCTTGTTTTTTTTGGCTAGGCAATGGGGTTAAGTGACTTGCCCAGGGTCACATGGCTAGTAAGTGTTGTGTGTCTGAGGCTGGATTTGAACTCAGGTCCTCCTGACTCCAGGGCTGGTGCTCTGTCCACTGCTCCACCTAGCTCTCCCCTAAAAATGCTTTTTAAGAAAATATCAGTTCCCTTAGAATAGGCTGTGGGGCAGGAAGGGGGGGAATGATAGAAGGGAGGGCAAATTGGGGGAAGGGGTAATCAGAAGCAAACACTTCTAAGGAGGGACAGGGTCAAAAGAGAGAATAGGATAAATGCGGAGTGGGATAGGATGAAGGGAAATATAGTTAGTTTTTCACAACATGACTACTATGGAAGTGTTTTGCATGACTACACATGTGTAACATGAAGGTGGGTGGGGAGGGACGAAGGGAGAGAATTTGGAACCCAAAGTTTTAAAAACAAATGTTAAAATTTGTTTCTACATGCAACTGGGAAATAAGATATACAGGCAATGGGGTATAGAAATCTATCCTGCTCCACAGGAAAGTAGAAGGGGAAGGGGACAAGAGAAGGGGGGGGTGATAGAAGGGAGGGCAGATTATGGGAAGGGGTATTCAGAATGCACGCCATCTTGCAGTGGGGGAGGGGGTATAAAAAATAAAAAAAGAATAGACTCTCTTCTCCATCACAAAGCTAAACGGGGTAGGGGAGAGGGGGGATGACTAGACAGCAGTTACTCTGATAAGGAATTAGTGTTTAAAGGAAATGCAAGCTCAGTGTGAGTCAACAGTGTGACACAGCAGCAAAATAAGCTAAAAAGATCTTAGGCTGAATTAAGAGGGACTAGGGGGGTCATAGTCCCACTGTACTCTGCCTGTACTCAGACCACATCTGGACTATTGTGTTCAGTTCTGAGTACTATGTTTTAACAATTAATTAATCAATCAATGAACATTTATTAAATACCTTTTATGTGCCAGGCACTGTGTGGTAGATATAAAAAGAGGCAAAAGACAGTTCCTGACCTCAAGGAGTTTACAGTCTAATGGACGTGAATAAACTGGAGAACACTCAACAGAGGTCAACCAGTAAGTCAAAAGAAGACCTCAAGGTCATCTAATGTAAGGAGTAATGGAAGCAACTGGAGATATTTAGCCTGGTTAAGAGAAGATGGGAAACATGAAGAGCTTGAAGGGTTATCATGTAGAAGACGGATTAGACTTGTTAGTTCCCTTCAATACTCAGCTCATATTCTGTCTCCTCCATAAAGCCTTTCCTGATGCTTGGTTGGCAGTGATCTCCCCACCTCTCTGGAATTACTTTGTATTCACTCTATATGTGTCTTACTTATTCATCAATGTACATGGGGAGAGGCTTGAATAAGAAGACCCACCAGCAAGTTACTATTCCAGGATTATTCCATTACAATAATCAAGATGTGAAGTGCTGAGGGCCTGAAGTAGACTGATGGCAGTGTCAAAGAAGAGAAGGGGGCATATGCAAAAGATGTAGCAAAGGGAAATCAACAGGCCTTAGCAATCAATAGGATGTGATGGGGTGAAAGATAGTACGGAATCCAGGATGATACCTAGGTTGTGGACCTGAGGAACTGGCAGGAAGGACTGTGCCCTCTACAATAATAGGGAAAATAAAAAGAGGAGAGGGTTTAGGGGGAAAGATAACAAGTTCTATTTTAGACATGATGTGTTTAAGATGTCTACTGGACATCCAGTTTGAGGTATCTGAAAGGCAGTTGGTGATTGGAGATGAGTAGAGAGATTGGGGTAGGAAGGGTATATTTGAGAATCATCAGCACAGAGATGGTAATTAAATCCACGGAAGCCAATGAAATCACTAAGTGAAGTCATATAGAGAGAGAAGAGAAGAGGACCCAGGACAGAGCCCTATGGGATGCCTAAAGTTACAGAGAATGATCTGAATGAGAATATAGCAAAGAAGACTGAGAAGGAGCATATAGGGAGGAGGAGAGCCAGGAAAGAGTGGTGTTCTAAAAACCTAGAGCGAATAGAGTATAGAGGAGGAAAGGGTGATCAACAGTGTCAAAAGCTGAAGAGAAGTTGAGGAGAAAAGATCCATTGGTTTGGCAACTAAGAGACTGTTGGTATTTAAGGAGAGAGCAATTTAGATCCAATAAGATCAGAAGCCAGATTATAAGGGGTTAGGAAGGGAGTGAAAGGAGTGACAGTGGAGACACCTAACCTAGGTGACCTTTTCAAGGAATTTAGCCCCAAAGCAGAGAAGAGATGTAGAACAATGGTAGGGACTGAAGGAGCAAATGATAGTTTTTTCAGAACAAGGGAGACATAGGCATGTTTGTAGGCAGTAGGGAACCAGTCAGTAGACAAGGAAAGACTGGAAATAAGTGTTAAAGCAGGGATGATAGAGGTGGCAATATGTTGGGAGAGATGGTAAGGAATAGGATTGCCTAAGGGGAATTATACTTGGTAAGGAGTAATGCTATCTCATCATGAGAGACAGGGGTGAAGGAGGACATAGTGGCAGAAGGCATCCAAGTGATAAGAGGTAATAAGGGGAGAAGAAAGAGCTCATAGCAAACAGACTCAATATTTCTGCAAAATATAAGGCAAGGTTCTCCACTGAGAAAGTGGAGGGAGGAGAAGCCAGAGGAGTTTTGTAGAGAAATTAAAAAGAATTCCTGGTGTACCAACTTCTAAGTTAATGAGGCAGATATAGAAGAATTGCCTAGCATCAGTGAGGGCCTAGTTGAAGTTGGTAACATAAATTTGTAGTGAATTCAGTGGATCCAGAATGGTTGCATGATTTTTTTTTCTCACCTTCTTTCAGAAGCATGTGAGTAGGAATGAAGTTGGGGAATGGTGGGAATGATTCAAGGTTTGGGAGGGTGGAATCACCAAAATGATTAGAGGGTTTGGGATTCAAGAAAGGAGGACATTGTAGAATTGAATTGGTTCAGCAAGGGGTCAAGATGGGGAAAAGAAGAGTGGCTAGTGCAGGGAACACGGTTTTTGTACTCTATGAATACATGACAAAATTGAGGGAGAGGCATGTTAAGACAGTTGATTCTATGATTTCCTTATTTGAACTTCAAGATAGCTCATTTCCCCCTATACTGCAAATCAAACTATAAAAACATTTTTCAATGTATATCCTGCTTAAAAAGCAATGCTTCTGAATGTCTTGAAATTTGGTTTTAATAATGAAATTGTACAAGCTAAGGGCCTCAGACTTCACTGTTTAAATCATTTAAAGTATCTCAAAGATGACAAACCAAGATTGCTGGTTAGATAAATTATAACGGGAAGGGTCTTCTGTGAAATTGTCCTCCATCCCTCAGATAAGAAATTTCTTGTTTAACTTACGTTTATGTCAGATTTACATTAAGTCATGGGGCCTTAAAAATTCAAACCCAATTTTTCTTTTTAAAGCTTCTCTCAACCTGACCAAAACTATTATTCATTGGGATGTTGGGTATTTTTTCTTCCTTCCCATTTCCTCTAGTTTTCCAAGAAAGATGCTGGTTTTTACGAAGTGATATTGAAAGATGACCGAGGAAAAGACAAGAGCAGACTAAAGCTTGTGGATGAAGGTCAGTCTTCCCTGCTGAGTTCATGCTTCAGTTCATTGATATAATCTATAGTAAGGTTACCAGAATGGTGTCTGAAGTCACGTGGCTCTCCATTCATAGATTTGCTCTGAAGTTCCAGTAGATGAGAGATTGTTTTATTTGAAAATCTCCCTAGAAATCATAGACATACCAATTGAGCTATGTGTGTTCTCAGACACTTATAGAAAGTTTAATAGGCTAATTCCTATAATTATTTTTATCTTTTAAAACATTTTCCTAGTACAAAAACTTAACTATTAGAATTGACATTTATGTGGAACTATATGATTTTCAGAGAACCATACCCAGACAATCTCATTTGATCCTTACAACAATCTATAAGATAGGTACCACAGGTAGGATTGTCACTATTTTACCATTGATGGAACTGAGGCTCAGAGAAGTGGGATTTAAACCCAGATATCCCTAACTCCATGTCCAGCACTCTATCCATTATGCCAAATATATATATATGTATATATATATATATATACATATATATGTATATTTACATATACATATAGACACATAAAACATGTGTTTAGAAAAACCAATCTATTCTCAAATGAAGACAAAAATGGTGATTGATTATGATGATTATGTATGAAATTCTAAGCTATATAGCTATTACCTGGGTAAGAAACCCCACCCAAATACAATGATTATGATGATTATGTATGAAATTCCAAACTATGTAGATACTACCTAGGTAAGAAGCCCCACCTAAATGCAACCTTGCTTCTCTGAGGTTCTTGGGGATGGGTATATCTTGGTAATATTGGTCACTTATAAAATATTGTGGTATGGTAGCACCAGACCTGCAGTCAAGAGAGACCTCGGTCCAACTTCATATGGCTGTGGGGAGGTCAGTTAAACTCCCTAAGCCTAAGTTTCCTCATCTATAAAATAGGAATATTTTCTCTATTTATCTTGCAGGGTTATTATGAGGATCAAATGAGATAATCTATAGAAAGTAATTTGCAAATCTTGATTTTATTATTAATTGCTATCAGTATTAAATTAATAATTGCTATCAGTAATTATTAAATGAACAAAATTATAATTATTAAGCCAATACCCAATGCTTTAACTTCTTCCTGCACCAAACCTTGTAACAGAATTACTAACAAGTAATTGGTTTGAATTTTGGCTTTGATCTCTCGGGTGGGTATGGCAAAGGATAGTGTAATGGGCACGGAGTCAGGAAACCTGGGTTTGAATCCTGATCCTGACATTTGCTACCTATGCTGCCTTGGACAAATCATCTAAACTTTGTGTATCTCAGTTTCTTCATCTGTAAAATAGACTTCCAAATCTAAATTTTTTTATTCTCTCAAACAAACAGGGAAATTTGAAGCTAAGTTTTTACGTTTAATGCAAACTTCAGTTTTTTTCTCTGCTGAACTTTTTCTCTACATCTATTTTCACAGCTTTTAAAGACCTGATGGCTGAAGTCTGCAAGACAATTGGTAAGCTTTCATTTTTTCAGAAGCTGCATGAGTCACTCATTGTTCTGTTTTGTGGAGGAACTTAAATGTGCATGAAATAACCTGCCATCTCCTTTCAGCTTTGTCTGCCACAGAACTGAAAATCCAGAGCACAGCAGAGGGCATCAGGCTGTACTCCTTTGTTAATTATTACCTGGATGATCTGAAAGTGAACTGGACCCACAAGTGAGTAAATGGGAGCCTACTGGCCTCCAGAGAACTTTTCCTCCCTAAAGAAAAGCAAAAATCCCAACATTCTTTTTGGAAGTAGAGATTTCTTTCAACATTAATGGCCCTCAGATTGGGACATGTAAGATTAGAAGTCAGAAGCAAAGAATTTGTGGCAGGCTCTTCTTTCAGAAAGACTTTTCCTTCAGGGATGGAATGGATTAGATACCAAGTAGTAGTTGAGGCTGAATTTGGGCAAAGGTCCTCTGATTCTGTCTGAACTTTAAATATAGAAAAAAATTATTGAAAGATGAAGAAGTAAGTGATTAATATTGTAACAAATCAAAATCTTTTAGTGGGCCCTATACTTCCCAAGATATGAACTAATGGTCTTTTTCTTCAAGGAAACTATAAGCCTCTGAAGTGTACTGTGGCTAAACTACACACTAATAAATGTTGTAGACCCTGCAGCCCACATCTCAGGAAGGATTTTAAGGTTTGGGGGATGAATTTGGACTGATCCAAGCTTGAAGGAATTTATTCTACCTCTAGCCTAGCCTTCTGGTGATTACTATTATTATAATTATTTTTAGAAATAAAAACTTAATTTCATATTTTAAAACTTTTCCCCATTATTACTAATTAATAATTTAATAGGTAATATTAATAAATTACAGTACTAATATTTACTCCAGTTCTTCCCCCTTCCCCAGCTCCCTCAATTGTTAGTTTAGTTAAGATTTCCAGGGGTCTTATGTGGAAGAAAGACAGCTAAGTGGCATGATAGAGCACCAGGCCTGAGGTCAAGAGGACCTGAGTTCAAATCCAGCCTCAGACACTTACTGGCTGTGTGAGCCTAGGCAAGTCACCTAAGCCTGTTTTTCTCAATTTCCTCATCTGTAAAATGAGCTGAAGAAAGAAATGGCAAATCGCTCTAGTATCTTTGTCAAGAAAACTCCAAATGGGGCTACAAAGAGTTGGACACAACTGAAACAACTGAACACAACAACAAATATGAAAGAAAGCAGGCTGCCAGCACAGAATGCTTTTTTCTTTCTTTTGTTCTGACTTTTCTCTCAGGCTACATTTTTGGAAGTTATTTTAAGTTAAAATGGATAAAATTAGGTCACCAAGTTTCCAGAAATCTTATCTGTGACATCTAGTACCTTCCAATGAATGAACCTGAAGGAAGTGGTAAGAAGCAAACATAAGTCAAATGGATATGCTATGGAACCGACAGCTTTATGTTTTCTGCATAATAGTTACCTGCTGAACAAGAAAGCTGGGAGGGGCAGCTGGGTGGCTCAGTGGATAGAACACTGGCCCTGAAGTCAGGAGGACCTGAGTTCAAATCTGGACTCAGGCCAAACACTTGACACTAGCTGTGTGACCCTGGGCAAGTCACTTAACCCCAAATGCCTAAAAAAAGAAAGAAAGAAAGCTGGGGGATGTGAATGTTATTTGAGAAAGGCGGTGAATCACAAACTTTCCAAGTTACACAGAAGTGGCCACCTAATTCAACATATACCTAAACAACGTAGGCAGGTCCAGCCTTTGCTGTTGCTTGAACACCCTGAAAGGGAATCCACTGAATCCCACGGCAGCTCAATGCCTTAGAGGGCACTTTTAATTGTTAAGAAGTTCTTCTTTGCATTAAACCAAAATTTGCTTCTTTGAAATGTCCACACACTCTTCCTTGTTCTGATCTATGGAGCCAAGCAGAACAAATTTAATCCCATGTGAAAGAACTTCCTAGCTTCTTCTCCAGGCTGAACATGCCCAGGTCCTTCCCTTGATCCTCAAAGGGCATGATTTCAATGCACTATATTATTTTCATTGCCTTCTGCTGGATATTCTCCACCTTAAAGAATGTCCTTCCTAAAATGTGCCACCCAGTGATGAATGGGCACCATACTATGGTTTGGCCAGGAATAAACAGCTATCAACTCATCTTGGACACCATGCTTGTCTTCATGCAGCCTAAGATTGTATTAGCTCCCTGGGCTGCCACATCACACTACTTAATCATTAATCTTTTAATTCACTAAAAACCCATTTTTTTTTCAGATACGCTGCTGCCTGTCATGCCTGCCCCATCTTGTTCTTATGAAATGCTTTTTTACCATTTACCTCTATTAAATTTCACCTTATTAGATTTGACTCAATGTTGTAGCCCATCAAGACGCTTTTGAACACTGACTCTGTCAGGATGTTAGCTTCTCTTTTAGCTTTGTGTACTCTGAAAACTTGTTAAGGGTGCCAGCTATCTATCTATCTATCTATCCCTTTATACAAATCATTAATCATTGACAAATATGGTAAACAGCACAGGCCAAGCACAGATTCCTGAGGTACTCTACTAAAGACCTCCTCCCAAGGTGTTAGAGAACAATGAATTACTATTTGATCTGGAAAGAAAGAAAAAAGAAATGAAAGAAGAAAGAAAGGAAGGATCAGAAAGGAAGGCAGGATGGAAGGAAGGAGAAGGAAGGATGGAAGGGAAGGAGGGAGGGAAGGAGAAAAGGGAGGAAGGAAAAGAAAGAAAGGAAGAGAGAGAAAAAAAGAAAGGGGGGAAGAAAGAAGAAAGGATGAAATTGTTTGTGAAGCACCGTATGCCTGGGGCATCGCACTAAAGGCCACTGAAACAATTGCATAGCCACTTAACATCTAGCCCACATCTCTCTGTCTTTTCCACCAAAGGAGCATGAGAAATCCTGTTAAATGCTGAACTTTTTTTTGTTGTGGCTATTTTGCTAGTAAATCTCAAGCACTTAAATGATTCTATCTAGTTGTTCAAATAAAAAATTTTTCCATTTATTTCTGGATCCTGTTAGGAATTCCAAAGTCAAAGGGCTGACTTCAGTGCTGTCATAAGCCATGACATTATTTTAAAACCATCAGGAAAGTTAAAGTGATTATTATAGGAAATCAAGGAAAACCTATTCTCCTAGGGGGCTAATATTGGAAGTCCTGAGTATATTGTTAGGTCAGTCAATGAACAAGCATTTATTAAGTGCTTACTATGTACCAGGCACTTTGTTAAGTGCTTGGGATTCTTAAAAACGGCAAAAACAGTCCTTGCCCTCAAGGTGCTCACAGCTTAACAGAGGAGACACGCAAGCAATTATGTATAAACAAGATATATGCTAGGTAAATTGAAGGTGATTTTGCACCTCCTCCCTAATTATGTAATCAAAAGAATCCATGGATCATCTCCTGAAATAGATCCCAAATTGAAAATGCCAAGAAATATTGCAGCCAAATAATAGAATTATCAGGTCAAGGAGAAAATCCTGCAAGCAGCCAGAAAGAAACAGTTCAAATATAGTGGAACTAAAGTCAGGATTATACAGGACTTTGAGACTTCTACATATCTCACATAATTAGATATAAAGTCTCCTTTTATTTCTCCTCTTTTCTTCATTGGTGTATCTTCCCCCTACCCCCATTTCTTTCATCTTTTAAGATCACCCAAATATAACAAAAATCACTCCTAGCTCCTCCAATTTCCTTTACTCCCTCTAGGATCTAGCTGATATTACCTCCATCCCACCCCTTTAGAATGAAAATACTTAGGAAGTCTTTACTGATTACTTGCTTGTATTTACTTTTTTGTTTCTCTTTACTCCAACATTTGCATTTCAAAATTTCTATGTAGCTCTGTACTGCTTCCTCCTATTCTTCCATTTTGGTAGCTTTCTTCCCTGTTGTAATGTTCAAAAGGCTTGCACAAACACATATTTATCCAAAGAAACAATATTTCTATACTTGCAGATCCCAGATGAGGGATTATGATTCTTGCTACATTCTCATTGTTACAGATAGATAAATACCAGTAGCTGTTCATGCTGGCCTTGCCCTTGAGATTGATTATTCTATTGAGCACATTGTGTCCTAGTACAGAAGAATCTTCCTTCATTTCTGAGACAACTCTGATTCTAGTTCTTGCTCCCACCTACTCTGCTTCCCTAGTCTCCCGTGTATCTGATTATTTGGCAACACCATTTACAGATGGATTTCTCATAGAGATGAACCCATGCCCTTTGCCAGCTTGCAAAGTGTAATCTACCCACGAAGCAACCATTTTGTCCCTAGGATGAAATATAAACTAACCTATAGTTTGGTCTTTTAGCCTTAGTGATTCCTTCTAAGTCTGCAACTAAAAATTATGATTGATGGGCAGCTTGGTGTTGCAATGGATAGAGTGCCAGGTCTGGAGTCAGGAAGACTCATCTTCCTGAGTTCAAATCCTGCTTCAGACACTTGTTAGCTATGTGACCTGGAGTAAGTCACTTAACCCTGTTTGCCTCAGTTGCCTCTTCTGTAAAATGAGCTGAGAAGGAAATGGTGAACCACTCCAGTATGTTTGCCATGAAAATCCCTAAATGGGGTCATGAAGAGTTGGACACAACTGAAAATGACTGAATGGCAAAAATAATGATAATTAATATCACAACACATAGTGGGGACTAGGGAGAGTACAGAGTAGGTCTAATTGAAATAGTTGCTTTTCTTTCTGACCTCCAGACTACTATTTGGGGTGACATGTTAGGTCAGAGGTTTGCATGGGGTGACATACCCTAAAACACAGTCCCATACCTTCTTGTCAAGTTCTTTCCCTGACTGATCATTCATTGTAGAGCCTTATTTCAACAGCCGGAAATATTCACTGAAACACAGGAAAAATTGCTGCAAGGCCAACAGCCCTTTGAAAGTCTTTTAGTGCTTTTATGTTGGCCTCTTCTTAGCAAGAAGAGTTCAAGAGAAGAAGAACTCCTAACCCAAAGAAAGCACTAATGATGTTTCCTTTGTTTCCCAAAGCGGAACTGCTATTAGGTATAGCGACAGAGTTAAGACCGGTGTCACTGGAGAGCAGATTTGGTTACAAATCAATGAGCCTACTCCAAATGACAAAGGAAAATATGTAATGGAACTCTTTGATGGCAAAACTAACCATGAGAGGAAACTGGATCTTTCTGGACAAGGTAAGGAATGTACTGGGGGAGGTGGGGAAGCATTAGACTTGAAACCTTGAGACCTGGGTTCAAGACTCATCTCTGGTGCTGATCAATCGTGTGATCCAAGCCAAGTCATCTAACTACTCCAAATCTCAATTTCCTCATTTGCAAAATGGAGGTAATAATTCTTCCCTTACCTACCTCACAGGGTGGGTTGCAAGAAAAAGTAATTTGTAAACCTTAAAGTAGGTGTAAAATACTCTTACTAATCTTGCTGGGTGGTTGTGATAAACATCATCTTCTATCATCATCATCATTATTATTTCTCCAAAATCCTTTCCATCTTGAGTCATTCCCATCTACCTCCCTTTATGTTTCAGGGTCAGCAATTAAAAACACTAAATTCTCCTCCACTTTAGAGAATCATAAATTTAGATCTGGAAGAAATCTCAAAGGTCATTAAGTCCAACCCCCTCCCTTTGCAGATGAGAAACTGAATTACTTGCCTAGGGTCACTCAGCTAAGTATTTCAGGTAGGACTTAATAACTAAATGAAGGAGTTTTGCCTAAAAATAATAATACTGGCACACATTTATACAGCACATTATAAATTGCCTGACAATTATTATGTCATCTGATCCTCACAATAATCTTGGAAGGTAGGTGCTATCATTACCCCCAATTTATAGATGAGGAAACAGAGGCAGACAGGTTAAATGACTTGCCCTGGGTTAGACAGCTAAGTAGGTTTCTGAGGCTAGATTTGAACTCAGGTCTTCCTGACTCCAACTCTGGTACTCTATCCACTGTGCCACACAGCTGTCTTCAAAATGGTCTTGTTTGTATCTATATTATTCCAGTAATTATTATTTATATCTATATTATTCCAGACTAAACTGTTAAAAATTATTGATGCTGGATTAAAAAAAAACTTTTAAAAATATAATCCCATGTTCATAATGACTGCTAATTACTTCTATTTCTGAAAAAAAGTCATCCACACATCTGTGATGCTTGTTATCTGTATGACCTTAGACAAGACACAACTTCCCTGGGCCTTAGTTTCCTCATGTATAAAATGGAGGAGTTGGACTATAGGGCCTTTGAGAACCTTTTCATCTCTAGATCTATGACTCCATAAATACACATTATGACTCCAGCCCATTCATTCAGCTCCAATGATTCAGTTTCCCCTATAAACACTGTATACTCTAAAATGCAATGATTCTAATATCACAGAAGATCTTAAAGAATAAGAAGGGAGAAGTCAAGCCTACCCAGAAGGTAGCATTAATGACACTTGGCCTAGTGAGAGAACACTTGTCTGCATCAGAAGACTCTCAGTGTCGGTCATGTTACTAGGCTGGTGATCCTGGGCAAGTTAGGTCTCCTTCCTTTTGAAATTCTGTCCCTTCATCTGTAAAATGAAGGGGAACAGGAAAGGTTGGTAAATGAGATTCTCTCTAAGCAAACTTCCAGGTTCATGCTTCTGTGAGTACCTGATACCTGGCAACTGCCACTGTTTGTTGCATTTATTAGAAAGTGTTGGTAGCTCCAGAAAAAATGAGGCAGCTTTAGTACCTTCAACTGCCAAGCACTGGCTATAACATTGAAAGAGTTGCCAAAAAGGGCTTGGCAGAAAGAGTATGGTGGGAAGAGATCAGCTCAGTCTCACCAGTTTTCAAGATACAAGTAGACAATCAAAGAATACTCCAATCCATGTGGCAGCAGATAAAGGCCTCAGTGTTAGGTGATCAGGGCCACCTCCATCTCAGACAAACTGGGCATGCCCAGAGAAGCCTGGGTTCCTGTTTCACAGGTAAATACACAGGTAACACCATTTGTTGGGCAGTAGAACACAGGAGAGCTCCTAACACTAACAGGTATTCTAGCAGATTCACTTTTGATTCAGTCAGACAGGAAGACAGCTTCGAAGAGGTTAAATAAGCTTACTTTATTCTAGTCTGGTCTTCTAAAAGGGTTGCTGATAATGGGCGCACCAACTCCTACAGCATTCCCTAATGACAGTACTCACAGAGGCGGGGGAGAATAGGAGTATAACTCCTTCAAGATCCCCTAAGCCTTGATGAGGGCTGATCAAGGCAGGTATGTGCATTCTTCTATGCCTTATCCAAATCCCCAAAATGGGTTTCCCACTCACTGACCAGTGCCCACTTGCTTTATAGGGCAACAGACAAAGAAGGCATCTTGCCGACATTAAGCTCACAGGTTAACTTTAGCAATATTGTCGCGACTTAGTACAGTGCAGGTGTCCATTATGTCATCCCTGTATCTCACCACGCAAGTGTGGTGGAGATGCTTTCAACCATAATTTGTGGGAAATATTATCTAAGATCCGGGAGATATTATCTAAAAAGGAATAACAAAATCCTTCTTATGCAGACTAAAATTTGCCTTCCTTACAGTTACACTCAGAACTAACCTCCTCTGTTCCAGCCTCCCTACCTCCAGTCCTCCTCAAGGTCCCAGTCCCCTGGGAAATATTGGTTCAAGCCAAGCATACGTGGAAATTAATCAAATGTGCTTTTCTGTCACAGGCCAGCACATGGAAACTATACATAAAGGAGACTGGATGAATGTGGGTTCTAAGATAGTTCATTATGGGGATCCAAACTTTTGTTGGTTTTTTAGAAACTCTTATAGGTTGGGATACCAGGGTTTGGGGGGTTTTTGTGTAAGTTTTTGTTGTTTTTAGAGACTTGGGTCTCTCTGTCTCTCTCAAGCTAGAAGTACAAGGGCTACTCACAGACCAGTCACATTCTGATTGGCTCAGGAGTTTTGACCTGCTCAGTTTCCTACTAGACTCTGCCCGCCAGAAGTCAGATTTATTGTAAACATCCATCTGGCATAGCCCCCTGCAGCTCAGAATTCTTGAGCTCAAGATTCTCCAGCCTCAGCCTCCCTAGACAACAACGAGCACCACTGCTGAACCTCACACCCAACTTTTACACTGGCTGCCTTTAACAGACTAGTTACTGCTTTTCTCTTCACCTGGCACATGTCTGTCTCCCTACACAAAAGACCTGAAAATTTAACATTTCCTATTTGCCACCTGAGGAGCAAAAGCTTTTTTTTTTCCATTTTAAAGTAAATTCAAGTTTTAGGGCTGACAAAGACACAGTCCTAGGCAAAGCATAGGTAAAGGTAACTTTTATAATGGAACTCTGTGGGTCGTGATTTTCCATGAGAAAACACTATCATTTTTTTTTCTTCTGTTGGCAGCCTACGATGAAGCTTTTGCTGAATTCCAGAGGTTAAAGTAAGTCCTTGTCCTTGCAAGTATCATTTTAAGTGCCCTAATTGAAATGGGAACACAGTGTACTATTTCTGCTGATCTTCACTTTTTTAAAAAGGGTCTTTTTGCACGTACAAAGTAGGACTTCCAGCTGCTGCATTGCGCAGCAAGGGTTTTCTGAAGCAATTAGAGGCAGGCCCGGCTAGCTACCTTGAATCAATACTAACATGTATTCTTCTTCTTCTTCTTCTTCTTTTTTCTTTTGTTCCTCCAAATCCAGACAAGCTGCTATTGCAGAGAAAAGTAAGTGAACAACTTTCACGTTTGACTGCAGAAAAAGTTTAGAGTTGGAATAACCTTTTACTTCACTGTCGTGTCTGTGAAGAAAGAATGCATAGTCTGAACAGACATTTTGCCCAGACTTATTTGTCTTAAGTACTTGTTACCATCTGTGTGTCACAGACATGCATGGCATGAAGAAAGGACCCAGGTTACTTTAGAGAATTGTTGTACTCTAAGAAGAGATCCTAACCAGAAAGCTAGAGGAATCTCTCTACTGGAAAAGCTAGTAATTTGACGCCAACTTGCAGGCATTTATTAGAAGGGAATTCTAATTTTTTTTAAAAGAGGGGTAAAATCTTGTAAATTCTTCTTCATTAGGCAAATCATAGTAACCTAAATTCCCACAATCCCACCATGGACCACAAGAAGTGTTACCTGGAATTACCTGTAGTTCTTGATTTATCTTTTGATACTGGGATATACCATTTTCTTCTGGTATAGTCTGCTCTTGAGTGGTATGGGCGCTGTATAGGTGTCATCTGCTGTCTCTCATCTGGAGTGACCATTGGGTCACCTCTGCTGTCTTGTAGCTAAAATTTAGGTACTGTGATATTGAGGTTGTTAGCCTCTGGTCTCTCTGCCAGTGGGGTTACCTGCCTCCCATTCAGGGGTCTTCTCCTAGTCCAGGGGTGGGGAACCTATGGCCTTGAGGCCATATGTGGCCCTCTAGATCCTCAAGTACAGCCCTTTGACTGAATCCAAACTTCAGTTTGATTGACAGTTGAGAACCTAGAGGGCCTCTAACATCCTCCAGCTCTTCATGGGCACTCTAGACATTGATTTAGCTAGTAATTTTAACTTTTAAGAGAGCACACCGCTCTGGCAGAAAGGTGGCAGGCAGGCCAAGGACTCCCTCCTCTTGAGGTACTTGTCTCTCCTGTGTTGGATATTGTAAAATTTAGCTGTCTATAAATGCCAAAGGATTACCCAGAAGTCTGGTCATTCTTTCTCTTCCCAAAGGCACATGGTCTCCCCTCCTTCTTTTGGTGTGTACCTTCTGCTCTGTGCTTTCTAAGTCTTAGCACTGGCTCCATTCTTAGGTAGGGGAACTAAAACCACTCCTAGTCCTGTCATCCCTCCAACCTCCCTTTAGCAGAACTGGACTCTGACCTGTTTGCCCAGGGGTTAGCAGGGTCCCTCAATTGTCTCCCAATTTTTAGTCACTGGACAATCAAATTGTCCATGCTTCACAAGGGATTGACCACTATCCCCAAACATTCTAGGTGATGTCTCAGGGCACGTAGACTCTAGAGAGCTATATTTAGTTCTCCTACCAGGAGAGGTGAGAGCTCAGAATCCTCCCTCTATCTAAGCAGGGGCCCTAATCAAAGAAAGGGAAGGGAGAGTTGTGTGGAGGTGGGAGGGGCATTGGAGCATTGGTGCTTTAGAGCAAGAATTAACAAACTACCACCTCCACCCCAACCCCCAGGACAAATCCAGCCTCACCTGGCCAGCTATATTTGGTCCTAGCAAGAGTTTGCCCCCGTTTTAGGGATGTCCAAGCCCCATCTGTAAAGCTATCAACTGTATGCATAAATATGGATTGTTTAGGTGTAAAAAGACATTATCCATTCCAGAAATACTTCACCAATCTAATGACCAAAGTGAAGCTTGGGCTGGGACCTAGTGTTGGCCAATCAATGAGAGCCAGAGTAGTTTGGGTTTAAGGCATGATCCTTAAAAAAGAAATCTAGCCTATAAACCCCAAGATATCTTGCAAGGTTATAAAAATTTATATTCCTTTGAGCAGAGCACCCAAGCACCCTCTGGGCAGAGCAGGAAAGGGTATGATTCCCTATGTGGAAAGAGGGATCTAGAACTAGGTCACAGGACAAAAATGAAGGTACAGTTTGAACAGGACCAAATTGTATTATCTGCAAGTGCCTGTTTATGTTTACAGCCTGACTCAGGGAAAATGAGGGGGAATGTGTGCAAAGTCCAGAAAGCAGTCTATAGAAAATGGAAGGTGCATCTAAATGTAGTGGAGTTGGGGGCTGGGTGAGGCTTGAGTTGGAATCATCTGCCAGGGCCTTGTTAGCCAGCTCCTGGGGAACTATGGACAATGTCTTTAGAGAAGTTTATAAAGAAGTTCAATATGTTGCTAGCCTCCAGGCCTGGCTGATACACATTCCCCTGTATGACTCAACTATTTTTAATCCTGGGAAAGCCCAGAAATTAGTTTCAGATGGCCCTGGAAGGCATTTAAATGAACCCTCTCTGCCATATGAAACTCCAGATGCAAGTTCATTCAGCTCCGGAGTTGTCTGAGCCAGACAGCTCCAGACAAAAGTTCTCTGATATAGGAGAACAGTGTCAAGCCAAGAATGGGTTTCATTTGGGGCAAAATCATCAAAGATGTTTGTGAGAGGTGGAAAATATGTGTGTGTGTGTGTGTGTGTGTGTGTGTGTGTGTTTGTATTAGCAAGCGAAAGTCCAAAACCACCAGCTACATCATTTTTTTGTTACATATATTGGAAATGAGTGGATTTTTAAAAGTAATTTTTAAAAAGAGAGAGGGAAATGAAATCTGAAAATTATTTAATAGACATGATTTTAGCTATAGTATAAGCATTTATAACTTTGCAGATACTTAATAGAAATATGTATGTTTTCAGACCGTGCCCGTGTATTGGGAGGTTTGCCAGATGTGGTCACCATACAGGAAGGCAAGGTATGTCACAGAACACCAGGTACTGTGCTAAGCACTGGGAATTCAAATACAAGCAAAAAATAGACAGTCGCTGTCCTCAAAAAGCTTACTTTCTAACAGGGAAAGACAAGACATGAAAGGGAGTTGAAAACAGGTGGGGGAATGGGGAAAGGTGTGCACAGGGACATGGTATGTACATTGGAAAGTGAGTCAGAAGCTGAGCCAGAAGAAAAATCAATCAATAATCAATAAACATTTATGAAGCATATGCTATGTGCCAGGCTCTGGGTTAAGCACTGAGGACACAAAAAGAGGCAAAAGACAGTACCTGTACCTGTCTTCAAGGACCTTACAATATAATGAGGAGTTTACAGGTTGGCCAACAAAGGCCCTTCCCCAAAATAGAGGCCCTCGGATGAATTCATCAATGGGAGAAGGGGACCCACTTGGAAAAGCTGTGTTCCAAGGTGAGGAGGCCCTGAGGGAAATTCCACAGTCCGACAGCAACTATAGGACACTTTTCAAGTCCTGCCAATTTCTACCTCCTAACCTTTTTTCAGATCCAACTCCTACTATATATCTCCACTGTCACCATTCTACTATAGGTAGCCACTTGTATTAGTACAGTAACCTTGTAAAGGGTCCCCCCCTCCCCCGCACAATCTCCACCTCCAATCCATCCCTCACACCACTGCAAGATGAATCTTCTTTATGTGCATGTCACCCCTCTGTTCAAAAGCATTCAGTGTTTCCTCTCTTTCACCTCTTGGTCCAGACTTGGGATTTCATCAGTTTAGGGAACTCCTTCCACCAGTGCAAAGCCACAACTTTTCATAACATGTGGTCTTAGACTATAGGCTGGACCATTAAAAGTGACTTCCTACATATCACATAGTATGTGTCAGGGGTAGGTCTTGAACCTGAGTTTTTCTGACTCCAGAGCCAGATCTCTATCCACTATTCTGCCTCTATTCAATCATACTGAAGTTGTATTTGAAACTGAGGTGGGCTTACAATAAAGGTAGGATACAATAAAAAGAAAAAAAAGCAGATGCTGGTCTCAAGGAATTCACAGTCTAAGATGGAAAGGCATTGTGTAAACCACTATGCACAAACATGCTATATATATAGGCTAAAGAGTATTATTGGATTATTATTGGAGATAATCAAAATAGAGAAGGCACCAGGATTAAGAGGGAATAGGAAAGCCTTCCTGTACAAGGGAGAATTTTAGCTGGGACTAGAAGAAACAGAGGCAAGCCAGGATGTGGAGATGTTTAGGCTTTTTACAAGTCTATCATCAAACCAAAGAATAGGCATCTTTGACCACATATACTTCTATCGGTGTGTCACTAAAATCAAAATTAGCAAGGCCATTCCTGTTGCTTCTGGAAACTCCCATATCAATAGAAACACCTCAAGGACAATCAAGACAGCACTATGACATGTAATTTATAATAATATAATAATTATTATAATAATGATTTATAATACATAACAATTTATAATAAGGCAAATTAAACATTCTAGTGTGAGGGAGGTTTGATATAGTAGCTAGTCTCTCCATAGGTGGAACAAGATCAAAGGTCTTTTCAGCCCAATCTAATTCAACACAAACCAACAAACATTTATTAAGTGCTGATTGTGTATAATGCACAGCACTGGACACTAGGGATATGAGAAGAAAATGGAAAATAGCCTTTACCCTCAAAGTAGCTCCTTTGTCTTTGATTCAGGACATCGGTAAGAAAAGTGGTGGAATAGAATTTGAAATGTTAGGCATAGTGACATTTTCATCTAAGAGACTGGTCTTTTTGATCCGGTCTTAATTTTCTGAACCCAATTGGGAGATCAGGGCTCTAATCCTGGTTCTGGTACTTAGTACAAATTACTTAACCTCTCTGACCCTCAATTTGCTCATCTGTAAAATGGGGACAAGGGTGGACTAAATGACCTTGAAGGCTTCTATGCACTCAAAATCCTAGGATACAATGTAGCAGCAGACCTGTTTTGATACAGATGGCAAGCAGCAAATGGGAAATGTTCTAATTAGAAACAATTTTGCCAGGACAGCCTTGTGACTTTTACAGATTGAGTAAAGCTTGGGGAAAAGTAGAAAACAAAGGAAAATAAAATTGAAAATAAATTAGATTGTCCAAAGCAGCTGCCTGCCATTCAGAGAATATGATGAAAAAGTACAGAGGGGGTTATGGTGGCAATGAGATTTCACTACTGTGGCAGGATTAGAATTTTACATTACAGCAAATGTGATCGGTTGGCATTTATGAAAGAAAGGGTGATGAGTATGAGTGGAAGTAGCCATTCTTCCTTGTGACATTTGAAGCTAATGGTAACCGTTAGTCTCCAAATCTTCCAAAGTCAGATTTCAGTCCTCAAGAACCTAATTTGTTTAGTGGATTCTTAGGGTGAAAAGTTTAACTCAAAACCAAATCCAGCACTCAGACAAGTACATAGCAGCCAACAGCCACTGGTCCACAATGTCTATTCTTATCTTTCCCATCTGACCATGACAGAGGGCTCAATGGATTTTTCTGGAAATTATTATTTAACTAAGATTATCATCTCTTTCATGCCTTCTCTCCTCCATCAATTGGCTTTTTTAGGCTTTGAATCTTACTTGCAACCTCTGGGGTGATCCCAGTCCCGAGATCTCCTGGCTGAAGAATGAAAAGCTGTTGGCCTCAGATGAGCATTGTATCCTGAAGCTAGAGGCTGGGAAGACAGCCTACTTCACCATTACTGCAGTCCAAACGAATGACTCTGGAAAGTACAGCCTGGTGGTGAAAAACAAATATGGCTCGGAGACAAGTGACTTTACTGTCAGTGTGTTCATCCCTGAGGAAGAGGCAGCAAAAGCTCCCTCTGAGACCTCAAAACAAACTAGGAAGACAAAGTAAACTTTAGACTAAGGAAGAATGGTATATGAGCGAAGATGAGATGGCCCGTGATAGGTGGAATGAAAGTGGTTTGATTCGAAGATAAGAAGCAGTCTTTGTACTGTCCACTGAGTTCTTATGTCAGCGCTGTCCCTACAGGCATAATTGTAAAATCTCCCCTGTGTCCACAAAACCTACTGACAAGGGCCATCCTCACAGTTTTCCTTCACATAATACAATTTCCTAAGCAGATGACCCGGGAAATAAATAGCAAGATATAGTTTTAAGGAAAAAACAAGATGAGCTTGTTGGGAAGAAAAGCCAGGGTCAAAGAGATGCTTTCTAGAGCATTAGAGAATCTGGAGAGAGTCATTAGCCCAGAAGGTGTTAGAGAGTGCCATTAGAACATAGTGTAGCATAGCATGGCTCACTGAGATAAGGTGTTAAGCCAACTGGTGTTTTCAATGTGTGGCCCTAGTAGAGATTTGTAAGTTGTGTCAATACTGTTTTGATGTTGAAACCTCCTCCTCACTGGCAAATAAAGGCTCACGTACCTTTCTTTTTAACCATCAATTTGTTTCCCTGATTCTTGAAATATTCCTTCTTAGTTTTGTTGGCCATGATAGAACTTATCCAACATAATCTCTTTTATAAAAATTCATTCTTCAAGACTTTTAATGATATAGTAACACTCTTCATAATTGTTCTCATGAGGTTTATTATACAACTAAAGGCAGTGTCTTTGAGAAATAACTAATTCCATCATTCGCAGGCAAATGGATGGAGCAGAAATGGCCAATCACCACACAGTCATCCACTTACCACACTGTCAAACTCATTCACTTGATAAGGCATCTATAATAATTGAACCACAATGTAGACAATTAGGTCATTTTGGTCATTTTAGTGGACAAATTGTATCTGCTTTGCAATGATCATCAGATCAGAGAAGGGACATCAGCTGTGTTCCAAACAGTAGAATGACTGGTTAACATCACACTGCACTGCCTGGGAGTCAGAAAACAGAGCTGAGGCCTAGTTCCATTGCTTGTCAATTAGTCTCTGAACTTCAGGGACCTGATGTTATGAAAAATAGCAATAACACCTGTACTTAACAACTTACATGTAAATAGCAGTTTAAGATTTGAAATGTGTTTAACTTACAATGACCCTGTGAAGTAGGTAATGCAAGTGTTGTGTGAATACTGGAAGGAGCTGTGATTTACTCAGCCTAGAGAGCTCCCTCTTTGGAACTGCCTGCCTCAGTGCAGATTTCAACTCCCCTCTGACTTGGTATTTAAATACTAGAAAGTTGCCTGAAGTGCTTAGAGATTAAATCACTTGTTCAGGTTTTCAGATGTAGTAAATTTCAGAGGCTGGATATGGGCTCATGTCATTGATTCCAAGCTCAGGTCCCTGTCTACGACACCATGCTACCCATAAAGCAGGAAGTTGGGTAGCACAGTGGATACAGCCAAACCTAGAGTCAGAAAGACCTGAACTGAAATTTGGCTCCAGATACTTACTAGCTGTGTGACCCTGGGCAAGTCACTTAACCCTGTTTGCCTCAGTTTCCTCATCTATAAAATGATCTGGAAAAGGAAATGGCACACCACTCTAGTGCTTTTGCCAAGGAAACCCCAAATGGGGTCATAAAGAGTCGGACATGACTGAACAATAAAACCCATAATGTAAGTGTTATCATCCCTTAGTTTTCATCATCTATAAAGTGGGGATAATAATGGTAGAAGAATTATTATCCCCATTTTACAGATGAAGAAGCTGGGGCTCATAGAGGTCATATATGTAGGAAGAGTCAGGGCTTGAGCTTAACCCCAAGTGAATTAACAAAGTCCAATGTTCTATACTATGCTGCTTTTATTAATAGCTAACATTTAGCATTTTACATGGTACAACTTTCCTCTCAGGGTTGTAAAACTCAAGTGAAATGTTTGCTTTGTGCTTTGTAATTATATAGCCCTATATAAAATTTTTTTTTAAATCCCAAGTTGTAGGCACTGCACTGTGGTGTGTTGGATAAAGTACTAGAATGGAAGTCTGGAGACTTAGGAGCTTAGCTTGGCCAGTAATTTGCTCTGTGACCCTGAGCAAAGTAGCTTACCTTTCTTAGCTTCAGTTATATCATCTGTAAAATGAAGAGCTTAGTTTAGCTCTCTGCTAGGTTTCTTTCCTATTCAAACATTCTACGAGGTATACAGAACGAACCTAAGGCTGTGGTATAAGATTCACAGATTAAAGGACACACCGAATGGCCCCAGAATTGCAGAGCAGTCCATGAAAGTGTCCCATCCACACTGCCAAGGCTGTGAGGTGTTGGGGGACCCTTCTGCTTGGGGATGTGCAATTTAAACTCACAACATAGAAGATCTCATCCTTTTCCATTCTCCTCACTTTCCATTTCAAAGAGTATTCACTAAGTAGAAATCTGTCAACAATATCAACTAAAAATAAAAATAATTTGACCTGACCTGAAGTGGTAGTCTTTATTGTGTCCCTCAGGATTAAGAAGGAAATTGTTCTGGCCTATAGGTCCTAATCAGGTGTGTGTTCAACATTAGTTGTCTTTCTAACCCATGACTCATTCCTGAAGGGGCTTGCCAATCAGGTATTTTAATCACTGATGCTCATACACACTCAACCGTTTCTGGAAGTTAATGATCATTTGCACCTTGCCTCAAATAAAGAAAAGAAAAGAACCTAGAAATAGTAGTGAGCTATGTCACAGCAGAGTGCTGGTACATATTTAAACCACCAGCTCTCTAGAAGAAAAAAACATATGTAAGACCCACTTTTAAATTTAATCTTCATTTTAAACATTTATTCCATCACTTTCTTAAGTCTAGATAACCATAAAAACAATAAATCAAGGCCTGACTCATAGCAATGATATTCAAGGTATAAATGCTCATACTTGAACATTTTATAATTGACTCTCCTGAGCCCATATATAGATCCAACGTACCCCTGACTGTGTGCATCCCTTCAATTAATTATGCTCAGCATTCAAAATTTTTGCAAATTTTACAAGGAACAGGTTAAAAAATATTTACTGACTCTTTATAGGAACATAGCTTATACCACCTTTGTGATGCAGAAGGATCAGTGGATTACACTCAAGTCAAGGCAAAATTTGATTTTGTGAGTCCATAGAAGTGAACCACTTCACATTATTCATGCACCTTCTTGAATCATGGATTTAGAATGAGGAGGTATCTTCAAGATCATCTAATCCAACCCCTTCATTTTATAGGTAACCAAAGCCCTATTGTGACATCAATTTGTTATAAGAATTAACATCCCAAATCTGGCCTCAGACCAAACACTTGACACCTACTAGCTGTGTGACCCTGGGCAAGTCACTTTACCCCAATTGCCTAAAAAAAAAAAAATTAACATCTCATTTAGTTTCATTCATTGGCAGCATGACAGTTGGATATAAAATCAGCCTTGGTGCCATAGAAGCCCTGGGTTCAAATCCTGCTTCTGAATCATACTGGCTATGTGACCCTGGACAAGTCACTTGACCCTTTCAGTGCTCTAGGCAACTCCCTAAGACTATAAGCTTCATAGAAGGTACTGACCTACATTGGTAAAGGGAGTTTCCTCTTTGAGGAGTTCCATAGGCCAACAAAATCACAAGTCCAGCACCTATTCTTATTTCACATAAACAGGTATTCCATCATCATCATCAAGATGTCATGGAGGGCTGAAAAATAGATTTTATCAAAAATTATAGATAGGGAGAGTGGGGAAAATATGTCACTCTATATACAAAATTTCCCAAAAATTATTGTTGAAATAGTAGATGAAGAAAAGGGTTGTTAATAGTTGATAGTTGGGTTAAGCACTCAGCTTATGTTCTAGATGAGTCTGTCTTTCTATGTGAAGGAAGAACTAAGAGGTAAATGTTCACTCTTACCCAGAATCCTCAAGCTGCTTTATTTCATTAACTTTTTAAAAAATACCTTCAGGATTGGCACCTGCTGGCCATAATTTAAGATGGTAGTGGAGGACTTTGAGTTCCATTAGTAAGTGTCAGACACTGTGCTAAGTGTGGGGGATACATCAAAAGGCAAAAACCAGCTCTGCTGTCAGGGAGCTCACGTCTTATTGCGGAAACAACATGTAACACCTCTGAACAGATGAGATCCACCCAGGATAAACTGGAAATAATCAACAGAGGGAAGGCATAAGCACTAAGGACTGGGACAGATGGTAGAAGGTGGGACTTTGCTAGGACCTGAAGGAAGCCAGAGAAGCCAGGGGGCCCAGGAGGAGGCAATGAGGAAGGAGAGAATTTCAGTATGAAGGAATAGCCAGTGAAAATGCACACAGTAAGAGGAATGTCTAATGATGAATTGTCAGCTCTTAGGGGGGCTATGGAGGTGGAGGTATCTTGACATTTTAGTTTACTAGGTTTTTTTCCATAAAATTCTTGAAGCTATTCTCATCCATGTCTAATGGCTAGAGTAGACTCAGAAACAGATTGAAACAGCATATATATGGTGGGGGGTGGGGTATATAGCAGGAGAGTTCTGGCTTTGAAGTCAGAAGACCTGAGTTCAAATTCTGGCTATGATACTTACTGCTTGTGTGACCAGTTGTAGGCAAGACACTGAACTTCTCTGGGCCTCAGTTTCCTCATATGTAAAATGAGGAATTTGGACTATATGGCCTCTCAGTGAGGTCCTTTCCAGCTCTGTGATTCTAGTCCTGGGATCGCTATTGATTTTCTATGTGATCACAAACATTACTGTTTACTTCCCTATGCCCCAGATTCTTCCCTTATGGAAACACTAATATTTAACACATAGTCCACCAAACTGACTTGTATTGGAGAATGTATTGGAGAAAGAGAGATACGGAAACAGGAGATAGGAAATCAAATTATCAATTGCCTTAGAGTTAATTGCCTTTAGAATTAAAGTTCTCTCAGTTTTAGGGGGATGTGCAATATAAAAGGTACACAAATACAGAGAAATACAAAACATACAATCAATCAATAAGTATTTATTAGGCACCTACTAGGTGCTAGAAAGGATTCTAAAAGATGAAGAGAGAGTGCATTCCTGGATAGAGCACAGCTAGTGCAAAGGCCCTGAGATGAGAGATGAGTATCATTTGTGATGAAGAGCCATAAAATCATTTTGACTGGATCATACTTGTGCTTGAAGAGGAGTAATGGATAAGGCAGATACATTCAACTGTGAAAACATCAAACCAGCATTAATTACAGAAATCATATATACCATATCTAGGCATAGATGCAGATGATTTTCTGAGGATTGCTAGTGTGAACTATTTGTCTCCTAAGCACAACTATGCTTTGTTTTGCTGAATCAGTGATTTCATCAGTAATGGGTACTCCAGTCTCTGATGCAAAATGAAAGCCATGCCTTCTCCTGTGAGATTCTTGTCCAGGCTTTCCCCATAGAGGATCTAGATTCCTCTTACATCTTCTCATTCTTGTTATGACTCATTCTCCACTCAAATACATCCTTGACTATTTTTTTAAAGCCTTCTCCCAAATCTGTTATCATTGGTCCTAACAT